CATTTCACACGTGCTACTGATATTGTTGCATTCACTGTGCCCTCACAAGATTGAAGAAGGAACCATGGAGGACCGCAGTTATGTAAAAGAACCTGACCAACAATCTTTAAAAATAATCATGCAAAAGTCTGACGTCATGCAGCAAACTGTCAACATCGCAAACCACACGCACCGAAAGGCAGAGTTAACACAACAGGAGGCACATTGTGTAGTTTGTACACAACATGTATACACGTGAACAATACGTAACTTTTTCACACCAACAGTATGAGAACGAGGTAAAACCTACAACACGGGTCTCAGGATGTTTTGACTCCCTCCAAGTCCAACTACTGTCACAAGTTGAAACAAAACTTATTCAGGGACCAGCCTCAAATTGCAAAACACACAGAATCCCCGCAAAACAATCGCCAGAATATTTTATCACCACCAGTGAATGTTGTGTTTTCTTACTGTGATTGTGCAGTGCCTGGTGAAACCTAATAATCTGATCTTTTAGCCGCAGTTCTGCCGCGGCTGGGTCCAAGCCAATGTCCTGCTTTTTGGATCCTCGTGGTTTTAAGCTCCCACAGATTTCTCACAGCGTTTGTAAAACTATATATTATAATAGATCCATGGTAGAACACCACTAGAGCCTCTGCAGCTCGTGCCGCTTCACATGCGGACTTTGTTTACATGTAGCCTCTATGCACGTGCGTCAAGATACATTTGTGGTGCGATAGTGTTTGGAGAGATCCGGTCATTTAAGAAATTAAAAGATTATTTTCTTAACTCCGTTAATACGCGATAAAATAATTGTCAGCGTTAATTGATTCATGAGTTAACGTGATAATACCGCGTTAACTTGCCCAGCCTTAATATTTAATATTCGAATTATATACGAGCACATCTACAAGAAGTGAGATGACAAGCTACACACATGTTTTCACCACATAGCTTTATTTCAGACTATTACTACTACTATTTGATATTTTTTTCCATACAGAATATAGCTGTTTGGTCCAAGCCCGTCCCATGGGCGTTACAAAAAAGAATAAATACACGTATTCCAAAGAAAAACCTTTCTTGGCTTAAACTCACACCTACTTGTCAATAATATTATTCTGCACATTTCTAATTTCCTGGAGTGAAAATGGGTGCCAACAATAAACAAACCAACAATACAAAAAACGTGGTGCAGTGAAAGCGCGTGCACATCTGGTATATTTGGCTTAGCCAAAGATGCTCTCGGTTTGGGTGTGTCACCTATGACTACATAGGCGGAAGGAATAGAGTTTGGACAGGCGCGTGAACCTGGAACCCCGAGCCGTGTGCGAGCCATATATTCCTGCTACTGTGAGATACTGAAGGCTTTCCCACTTGATTGCCAGTCCTTCTTTTTCAACTGTTGAGTAACAAATCTCTCTGGGCAACCTTTTTGGCACAGGTAGAGCACTGGCTGCTTTTCTCTTGGTTCCTCTTGGTCCAGAACTGCTCTGAGCCCAAGAGCTGATGCATCCACCTGGACTAGGAACCGGAAAGTGGTCAGGACTCTTGAGGACTTGAGAGAAGACTTTGAGGGTCTGAATTGCTTCTTCACAGGCATCTGACCAGGCTTCTTCTGTTCTTTCGCAGTCAGGGTGGTCAGAGCTGCTGCGACGGAGGCCAACTTAGGGCAAAGCACCCCTACCAGCCTGCCAGGCCCAGGAACGACCACACCTCTTTCTTGGTTCGAGGTTGAGGGCAATTACGGACAGCTTCCAACTTATCGACTTGAGGATGCACCTCATATCAACGTAGTCTGTACCTGAGGTATTGGGTCTCTTCTCTTTCCCACTCACACTTTGATGGGTTCAACGTGAACCCAGCTTTATGTATCATGTCCAGGACCAGAGCAAGATACTGGACATGATACAACATTTAAAAGCAACAACTTTCCAGTTGTTACTTTAAATCCATCCATCCATCCTTTTTCTTCCCCTTAATCCATTTCTGGGTCGGGGGGTGACAGTCAGAGCTGCACCCAGTTCACAGAGCACCAGCCCCTCACTGATCCTCCTGCAGTTGGCGAGTCCACAGGAACCTTGATCTTCCAGTGGGGGCTTCAGGCAAAGTGGGGTTAAGTGTCTTGCCCAAGGACACAACGACCGCAGACATCAGTGGGAGTCGTGAAGTAGGTGGGCTCAAACCCTGGACCTTCAGGCCCAAAGGCCAATGCTCTACCAACTGAGCCACTGTCGCGCATGGCTTTAAATTCCCACATCATCTAAATAGGCTGTGCTGCAGTGGTCACAGCCCTGTATAATCTGGTCCAGAAGCTGCTGCAAGGTTTCTGACGCCCCGTGTAAACCGAATGGCATCACTGTGAATTGGAGCAGCCGTGAAGGGGTCTGGAAAACTGTGTACGGCCGACTTCAATCCTCTGAAGCAGTTTGAGGACTTGATGATGTCCAGCCGCTGCCTTTCCTTTACCTCCATCTTGAGCTTTTCCACCAAGTGTTGATCGAACTGCCTTCTTTTAGCCGGTTGAGATCCTCCTCCAAAGTTGTCTTCCGTGGGTTGGCAGCAAGTAGAGAGGGAATGCCGTCAAATACTTTGAATAGTTGTTCAGCTGTCTGTTGACATGGTACTACTGGCCCAGTCCTTCAGATCCAGTGTCCTCTTCTTCCCCCTTCGGTCCGCTCACATGCTACACCAGAAGCGACGTGACTGAGCCTTCCTGCTCTTTCCATTCTTTACATAAGTCTGCTTCTGTTTCTTTTTGTCTGGATAATGAATCTTGTACGTCACTGGTCACATTTTTCTGATGAAGGTGTTACTTGGCCAATAGCTTGCAATTTCAGGAGGGAAGGAGAAGAAGGACCCTCTGGCCTAGTTGAAACTCACGGTGCCTCGCCTGCTGGTCATACCAGGTCTTCTGGCTTGTCTGGGTCTCAGTGAGGTTATGTGTTGCTTCTTCCTGGTTTTTTGTCAACCGTTTCCTTATCTCTAGCATATACCGTATAATACTTAGGTCACACAACACCAAATAATGATGCTATTTTACCATGCTGTGATTGAGAGTGTGGTATGTGTGTGTTGTTTGCGAATTGAACTGTTAAAACAAAAGCAGAACACCAATTGTTGCGCACACCCCCCTCCCCACCATTTTCAGACATTTTTTAAGAGGCTCCAGGAGCCACTCGAGGAGCACTAAAGAGCCGTGGGTTGAACTGCCACTATCCAAAAATGCTTCAATCAGGATCCCAAATCCTCTGTTGCCGCACCATTCTGGTCCCTGGAGCAATTACGACCGCTTTGTAGTGAATGACAGCAGTTCCCACCACTCCTACATTTCAGGTGAAATGTCAAACTTTGTGAGGAGTGCTTCCTTTAGATCCGGATGTGAATGGGCCTTGGCGCGTGTCTGGGCGCAGAGACTTTCCGCCGTCTCCACTTGGCCTTCCAATGTGGAAAAATTGGGTGTAGCCGCTGGCGTGGTACTGGGGTAGGAAGGTCTACCTGAGGGCTAACTGCAATCCAAGTTGAAGAGGATGCAGAGACGGGCTGCTGTCTGTGACAGTGAAGACCTCAGCCCTCGCAGTTCTGCATGCGAGGTTTCCTCCCTACTCTGTTGACCTTGCAGCATAACAGCCTATAGTTCCTCACCCACTCCTGCAGGCCCTGGTTGGCCTTGAGTAGAGGGACCAGGGTTGTCATCCTTCAGCATTCTTCCTCTTTTGGAAGTGACACAAAGGTGAAAAAGTAAGTAGTGGATTAAATTCAATCAACACCTGACACGTAATCCACCCACAATAATAAAAATCATAACAGAAATTAAAAAGATATAAAATAGGTGCAGATAGATGCGTAATTTCAAAAGACATTTAGGTGAGGATAATCAACCAGACACATAATTATCAACTCCACAAAAACGTATTAATATCTATTCATAGTGTGTCTGTAAGTAAGTGTAATCTGTTCCCGCTTGTGGAATTAGACAAAATAGGTCTACGATTGGCCAAAGGGACAAGAAACATATTTGCCACTGTTCTTTCATAAACCATACATTTGAAATTAATATAGCCTTATTTGAGTTTTTGTACAAATAAACGTTCCTTGCCTTGATATTATAGACAAATGCTGCTTGTCCCTTTGGCAAACATTTGATTACCTTTTGCATTATGACCTGATGTTGCTCTTTGGCAACTAAATTTTGTATTTGTCCTTTCTTGCAGAGGGCACCAGTCCCAGAAATGGTAAGTAATAGTGGGTTTTCACACAAACATAAATGTAAGAAATAAACAAAAGCATTATGCTGGGAAATTTCAGCTGTTTATTTTCCATTTTCCAGTAAATACAGAAAACAGAAGCAAGAAGTATTCAAAATAAAGTTGAATGTCCTCCTTTACCTATCATTATGAAGACCAATTCAAAAGAAGTCCTAAAGGAATTATTAGCACATTTATTCATCAAACAGGGAGGACATTTCAGTGTTGCATCACCAGTTACAGAACAGTAGGAATGAGGAGCACTGAGCAAAAGATAAGTGAACAAAAACTCTATTCTAAAAGAAAATAAAATCTCTAACTTTAGCATATTAAAGAAGCAAGTCTAAAATATCCAACTATAGCATAATAAAGAAGTATACAATCGCTTAATCTTAGCATAATAAAGAAGCAAGTATGAAATACTTAATATTCAAGTACAGGAAATATATAGTTGTAGGGATTAGGGCTGGGACAATGCATCGACGTAATCGATTAAGTCGACGCAAAAAATACGTCGATACAATAAATGCATGTCGATGCGTCATACTCATAACAAAGATGGCAGCGAGCTGTAGCAGTAGTTGTAGCAGCAGCAGAGGCTAAGGGTGTTCAGACCAGAAGTCCTGGGCTCACAGATTTAAACTAGCGAAGTTAGGCTAGCGGAGCTAGCAGAGTTATGCTAGTGGCTTTTTTGTGTAAAGTTCTTCTCCAAAAGGCAGCTCTGCAGGGTCTTCTTTGCTTTCCTTGCCATGCCATTGTGTTTGTCTTCAGAGATTCGCTTGGGGAGACAGAGCCTGGAGTCTCTGGTGCAGTGTGGTATCCCCAACGTGGACCTCATGGATGAGGAGGAGACGCAGGAGAGAGGTAGAGGAGGCCGCAGGAAGAGGGTGGTCGGAGGGGTGCCTTCCAAACCGGTAAGCATCCAACACATGCAGTATGTAGGATGTTTGCTGGCACTAAGTGTGAGGTCACATTTTGGACGTGGCCGCAAAATTGGTTGGTAGAAAGAAAACATCAACATGTCTCATACTTTAAAGCAGTTTATGTAATTATATTAAAGCTGCACTAACTAACTTTGAGAAATGTTCGAATGATAACGCTGAGCTCGCACCCTGCTCGCCCTCCCCGCACGGAGCTTTCGCACCCCCCCTCCGCCTCAGCCTCTGCTCATGCTAACTGTATATGGAGCTCACGTCTCACAATATGGACACATTTGAACCTGGATGGCGTGCGCGGAGGAACGATACTTTCTTTAGGATGGCTGTTTCGCTGTGTAAGCAGTAACTGGTAACGAAGACACGGGAAGCTTCAGATTAGCCTCCGCCGCTTGTTTACCTCCGCTGTCTGTGCTAACGTGAGACCTGTGGCTTTTCTCAAGAAAGTGGGGGCCAGTGGTCCGCTGTGATTGGTCACAATCGGGACCCGAAACACATTCTCTTCCTTGTTTCACAAAAACTCGATCTAAAATTAAATGACACGCTAGCACAAATCTGCGCTACTTTTTCTTCAAAAGGACGTATATCTCAATGCACTGCATAGATATGGATTGAAATTTCATCATGAATACAAAATAATAAGTCATTTAGTGCAGCTTTAATTTATGCAAATTCTTTGATTAAAGATAAACAGTGAAGCTAAAATATAACAGGGTTTCTGTTTTCTGCCTGATCCATATCACCTGAGTGAGAATTGGTGTTTGCCTCCAACAAGGCTGCCCTTTGTCTGGGCATGTGATGTCAACCACTGGATCACATGATTGCATGTTGACATCACGGCAAACATTCCTATTCAAGATAGCACAGTCCCACAGGCTGACACGAGCCTCAATGTGTCCGGCAGCACCAGATCCAATGGCAGGTGGCACTGGTGGACACGGGGAAGATCGACTGTGGAGGGGCATACATCGGCAGCTGCTGGATCCTGACGGCGGCTCACTGTGTCAGGTGAAATAACTGAGGATTTTTTTTTTTAAATGACTTATTATTTTTGGCCTTTAAAATTATAATAAGACCATTTACTTGGTGTTATAAGTGGGAATTAATATGTGGTTGAATGGTTTAAATGCATGATGCATAGTCTCGAACGGAATGAGGCACAGAGTGTGTTAAAATCATACAACCGCTCCTTGTTGTTTAATCCGCTTATACGATAGTCAAAACACTCGCATACTAAACATGTTAATATATTTATATACAGTGCCTTGCGAAAGTATCCGGCCCCCTTGAACCTTTCAACATTTCGCCACATTTCAGGCTTCAAACATAAAGATATAAAATATAATTTTTTTGTCATGAATCAACAACAAGTGGGACACAATCGTGAAGTGGAACGAAATTTATTGGATAATTTAAACTTTTTTAACAAATAAAAAACTGAAAAGTGGGGCGTGCAATATTATTTGGCCCCTTTACTTTCAGTGCTCCAAACTCACTCCAGAAGCTCAGTGAGGATCTTTGAATGATCCAATGTTGTCGTAAATGACTGATGATGATAAATAGAATGCACCTGTGTGTAATCAAGTCTCCGTATAAATGCACCTGCTCTTTGATAGTCTCAGGGTTCTGTTTAAAGCGCAGAGAGAACCATGAAGACAAAGGAACACACCAGGCAGGTCCGAGATACTGTTGTGGAGAAGTTTAAAGCCGGATTTGGATACAAAAAGATTTCCCAAGCTTTAAACATCTCAAGGAGCACTGTGCAAGCAATTATATTGAAATGGAAGGAGTATCAGACCACTGCAAATCTACCAAGACCCGGCCGTCCTTCCAAACTTTCATCTCGAACAAGGAGAAGACTGATCAGAGATGCAGCCAAGAGGCCCATGATCACTCTGGATGAACTGCAGATAACTACAGCTGAGGTGGGAGAGTCTGTCCATAAGACAACAATCAGTGGCCAAATCTGGCCTTTATGGAAGAGTGGCAAGAAGAAAGCCATTTCTCAAAGATATCCATAAAAAGTCACGTTTAAAGTTTGCCACAAGCCACTTGGGAGACACACCAAACATGTGGAAGAAGGTGCTCTGGTCGGATGAAACCAAAATCGAACTTTTTGGCCACAATGCAAAACGATATGTTTGACGTAAAAGCAACACAGCTCATCACCCTGAACACACCATCCCCACTGTCAAACATGGTGGTGGCAGCATCATGGTTTGGGCCTGCTTTTCTTCAGCAGGGACAGGGAAGATGGCTAAAGTTGATGGGAAGATGGATGGAGTCAGATACTGGACCATTCTGGAAGAAAACCTGTTGGAGTCTGCAAAAGACCTGAGACTGGGATGGAGATTTATCTTCCAACAGGACAATGATCCAAAACATGAAGCCAAATCTACAATGGAATGGTTCACAAATAGATGTATCCAGGTGTTAGAATGGTCAAGTCAAAGTCCAGACCTGAATCAAATCGAGAATCTGTGGAAAGAGCTGAAGACTGCTGTTCACAAACGCTCTCAATCCAACCTCACTGAGCTCAAGCTGTTTTGCAAGGAAGAATGGGCAAGAATTCCAGTCTCTCGATGTGCAAAACTGACAGACATACCCCAAGCGTCTTGCAGCTGTAATTGCAGGAAAAGGTGCCGCTACAAAGTATTAGCACAAGGGGGCCGAATACAATACAATACAATACAATACAATTTATTCTTGTATAGCCCTAGGTCACAACAGCAGTCATCTCAGAGAACTTAACAAAACCATTGAAATCACCAACACAGGTCAGAATATCAACAGTTAAAACACATGACAAATATAAAGCACACACAGAAGAAAATGTCCATACATGTTGTAGAATGCTAAAGTGTCCTGGATCATCACCAATCCTTTCTGTTGGACACTAACTGTCCAACAAGACCCTCCTGCATCGACAAGGAAAAACTCTTAAAAAACCCAGTGGGAAAAAGTGAGAAACCTTGGGGAGAACTAGGGAAACCCACAGGGAGGGAGACCCATTTGAGAAAGGGATTCGCTCCTCCGGACGGACAGGCTAATGATCCAGGACCTAAGCTAGCTACAGAACGTGGACCAGTGGCCGCTGAACATGGGCAGGTCCGGTGCAGGACTGAAGCACTCCCAGGCGGGTCGGGCCGGGCAGTCCGCAGGTGTAGAGGGAGGAGGCCAGGCGTAGAGATCCCGTCATCGTACCATGAAACAGACAATGGGACAACGGGTGAATAGCAATGAACAAACTACAGTCAAAAACCTAATAATGCTAAAGAGGTAAAGTAGGAAGGAGAAGAGGATAGTGCTCAAGTTACCATACTTCTCCCAGCAAACTGACTCCCTATGCAGCTTGACTGACAGTCTGAGGAGTTTAGCCTTCCCTGAGTCTTACCTTCCTAGCCATATGCTAAACTAAAGAGAACTGTTTTAAACCTAGCCTTGAATAAAGAGAGCGTATCTGAAAGGAGGTGAGACAGCAGCCACGGCTAGGCAAGCCTAGGTTACAGCACCAAGTGGGCAGTCCCTCCTGTGGGCCCACCACCTGCAGAGGGGTCCGTGGTGGCGCGGTGCTGAGAGGACTGGGCGGCAGTCGAAGGCGGAGACCTCGGCGCCCCAGTCCGCACACACAACATCTGGCTCTTGGGACGTGGAACGTCACCTCACTGGGGGGGAAGGAGCCCAAGCTTGTGGGGGAGGTTGAGCGATACCGACTAGAGATAGTCGGCCTCACCTCCACACACAGCTTGGGCTCTGGAACCCAACTCCTTGAGAGGGGTTGGACGCTCCACTTTTCTGGTGTTTCCCGCGGGGAGAGGTGGCGAGCTGGGGTGGCCATTCTCATTGCCCCCCATCTCAGCCGCCACGTGTTGGAGTTCTCCCCGGTGAATGAGAGGGTTGCGTCTCTCCGCCTCCGGGTGGGGGACAAGTCTCTCTTTGTTGTGACGGCCTACGGGCCTAACAGCAGTGCAGAGTACCCGGCCTTCTTGGAGTCCTTGGAAGGGGTACTGGACGGTGCACCGCCCGGGGACTCCGTTATTCTCCTGGGGGACTTCAACGCCCATGTGGGAAACACCAGTGACACTTGGAGAGGGGTGATCGGGAAGAACGGCCCCCCTGATCTGAACCCGAGCGGTGTTCAGTTGTTGGACTTCTGTGCCAGTCACAGTTTGTCCATCACGAACAGCATGTTCGAGCGCAAGGGTGTCCACCAGTGCACGTGGCACCAGGACACCCTAGGCCGGAGGTCGATGATCGACTTTGTTGTCGTATCATCTGACCTTTGACCGCGTGTCTCGGACACTCAGGTAAAGAGAGGAGCGGAGCTGTCAACCGATCATCACCTGGTCGTGAGTTGGATCCGCTGGCAGGGGAAGAAGCCGGTCAGACCTGGCAGACCCAAGCGTATAGTGAGGGTCTGCTGGGAACGTCTCGCTGAGCCCCCTGTCAGACGGACTTTCAACTCCGGCAGTAAGGGATGCTGTCAGGCTGAAGAAGGAGTCCTATCGAGCCATGATGGTTCGGGGGACTCCTGAGGCAGCTGTCCAATACCGGCAGGCCAGGCGTGCCGCGCCCCGGGCTGTTGCAGAGGCAAAAACCCGGGACTGGGAGGAGTTCGGAGAGTCCATGGAGCATGACGGTCGGCCTCGAAGAGATTCTGGCAAACCATCCGGCGCCTCAGGAGGGGGAAGCAGTTCTTTGCCAACACCATGTACGGTGCGGGTGGAGAGCTGCTGACCTCGACTGGGGATATTGTCGGGCGGTGGAAGGAATACTTTCAGGTTCTCCTCAATCCCCCCGTCACGTCCTCTGTTACAGAGGCAGAGGCTGAGGATGTTGGGGCAGATACATCCATCTCCCTGGCTGAGGTCACCAAGGTGGTTGGCAGCCTCCATGGTGGCAAGGCTCCGGGTGTGGATGAGATCAGTCCTGATTATCTAAAGTCTCTGGATGTTGTAGGACTGTCTTGGCTGACACGTCTCTGCAACATCGCGTGGCGATCGGGGGCGGTGCCAATGGAGTGGCAGACCGGGGTGGTGGTCCCTCTCTACAAGAAGGGGCACCGGAGGGTGTGTTCCAATTATCGTGGGATCACATTCCTCAGCCTCCCCGGTAAGGTCTACTCCAAGGTACTGGAGAGGAGGCTACGGCCGATGGTCGAATCTCGGATTCAGGAGGAGCAGTGTGGTTTTTGTCCCGGTCGCGGAACACTGGACCAGCTCTATACTCTCCATCGGATACTCGAGGGTTCATGAGAGTTCGCCCAACCTGTCCACATGTGCTTTGTGAATTTGGAGAAGGCGTTTGACTGTGTTCCCCGGGGTGTACTTTGGGGGGTTCTCCGGAGTACGGGGTCGGTGGTGCTCTGCTGAGGGCCATCCGATCCATGTATGATCGGAGCCAGAGCTGTGTTCGCATTGCCGGCAGTAAGTCAGACCTGTTCCCGGTGAATGTTGACCTCCGACAGGGCTGCCCTTTGTCACCGGTTCTGTTCACTGTGTTTATGGACAGAATTTCTAGGCGCAGCCAGGGGTCGGAGGGGGTCCGGTTCGGAGACCACAGGATTTCATCTCTGCTGTTTGCAGACAATGTTGTCCTGTTGGCTCCAACGAACCAGGACCTGCAGCATGCACTGGGGCGGTTTGCAGCCGAGTGTGAAGCGGCTGGGATGAGAATCAGCACCTCCAAATCCGAGGCCATGGTGCTCGACCAGAAAAAGGTGCCTTGCCCGCTACAGGTGGGTGGAGAGGTCCTTCCTCAAGTGGAGGAGTTCAAGTATCTCGGGGTCTTGTTCACGAGTGAGGGAAGAATAGAACGTGAGATTGACAGGCGGATCGGTGCAGCGTGCGCAGTGATGCGGTTGCTGTATCGGACCATTGTGGTAAAGAGGGAGCTGAGCCGAAAGGCAAAGCTCTCAATTTACCGGTCAATCTTCGTGCCCTCCCTCACCTATGGTCATGAGCTTTGGGTAATGACCGAAAGAACGAAATCGCGGATACAAGCGGTCGAAAT